AAACAGAGAACTGTTTTCTCTAAAGGATTGATACCCCAATCCTTTATCACTGGCCATCTTGGGTAGGACTAATGAAGTCTAACATTTCTGGTGGAAACAGAAAGTCAAGAGGAAAAATATGTCCTTGCATTCCATTTTTAAATATCTACCGATGTCATGAATGAGATGCGTATAGTAGCCAATTCTACATTCAGATATAGCATTAAATATGTAGACTGTCAGTATGATTAGCTATACTACTTGATTAAATCAATTATAAAATCATCTATATTTTAAAATCTAATCTAGGAAAGACATAATTAGCATTTGTCTAAACAAATGGGGAAAAAAGATATTTGCAAAACAGATGAAATAGTAGATCATCTATTAAGATTATGCCGTTGGAGTCTAGTAGTTTCTATGGTGATTTTCTGGGTCCTCAACAGCTCCAGCTGTCTGAAATAGTCTTAGGACACAAAATAAGAATAGAGGAAAGGAAGGTGGAAAGGGTCTACAGTAAAGCCATGAGAACTGGTGCAAGGGCTTGCCTCTAGCACACCTTGCCAATACAGAGAGTAACGCCAACATGTACGAGAAGCTCCTAATTGAATATCTGAGGAATCCAGATGCAGAAGACAGTTATGGGCACAGCTTAATGTCAGTTCTGTTCAATGGTACATGTTTTATATGTACCCTATACACAAATATTAGGGCATTTTTATTCCCTTACTGATTTGGAGAAAATGCTATCTCAAACTTACCCCTTCCTTTCTTCCTCCTAATGTAGCAAAATAAGGGAATTATTAACCATACCTGGAATAATAATATTAGTCATATTTAATAATTGCAATTATATTTAATATATTTTTTGTCAAAGCTGTCCTATTTTAGTTAACATGGCACATAAAGACCAAGGGCAGCTTTTGGCTTGAAAGGATGTGATTTTTGCACATCCATGCTCTGGACAGGGTTTTGCAGATGCTAATCATGCAGAGCAAATTCTTTGGCTTTGTTCAGAATAAAATTGGTTGGTAGCCAAATTCATATGTAGAAGCCTAAGCATGCAAAATAAAGATGGAGAGGCTTAAATGTTTCCCTTCCTTTAATGTTATTCAATTTTCAAATTAAATTTTGTTCCATTTGATAATGCAGATTTTTCTGGATTCTCCAGGCAGTAGATCACAAGAATTACATATGATTATTTTTAGTAGAAAAACATAAGAAGCTCCCTGTTGAAAATACCAAAGACTTAGCAGCTTCAGCATTTTGTTTCCGTTGTAGGCAACATTAATTAATTAATTAATTAATTAATTAATTAATTAATTAATTAATTCATGCCACCTTTATTATTTTTATAAATAACTCAAGGTGGCAAACATATCCAACACACCTTCCTCTTCTGATTTTCCCCAAAACAACAACCCTGTGAGGTGGGTTGGGTTGAGAGACAGTGACTGGCCCAAAGTCACCCAGCTGGCTTCTCTGGATAAGGTGGGACCAGAACTAACTAACACTTTGCAGTTGTAAATGTGAAAAGATTGCCAAGCGCCCAAAATGCGGTCATATGATGAGGTGGGGGCATACAACATTTTACAATATCAGGAAGCCCTTTACTTCTGTAAAGCACTCGTTACAAGGGCATTGTGACTGCGAACAGTTATTAAATGACCAGCCGTAAGTCAAAGACTACTTGTACACCACACTATTTACAAGTTTGCTAGCAGACAAGAAAGGGCAAGCTGACGTTTAGACAAAAATCTTAGTTTGGCCCTAGATTATATTTTGAAATCAGAAGAAGCATCTACTTTAAATTACCACAGCTGCTTTCAAATGCACACCTCATAAACACATGTATTTAAATAGAGACACCTACAAAAAGGTTCATATTTAAAGTGCTCTATGAGACTTAATTGTTTCTCATTTAATTCTCCTTTGGAACTGCAATGGTGGGCAGCATGCCAATCAAAGTACTGTAGCTCCTTGTAGCCTACGGATCAGTCTGCTGCTCTGACTGTGTCCAGATCTGACTAAACAAGCATGCATGCTTTAACATGTTTGTCAAACAACTCAGATAATATGAAGGTGAAAATGTTTTCACAAGAATACAGTTCCCTTCTGACTACTGTAGCAACAAAGCAAATGGAAACTGGTTAAAAAACGTTATAACATCGCTTAAGAGTAAATTTCTACAAAAAGGTAAACTAGAGAATGATTTAAAAGAAGAGTTTCCCCCAGTAAATAAAAATAGAATAGTTCTGTTCTCTAAAGGTAGGATTAGCTAAAAATGAACTACAAGAAATATTAGAGCTAGGTGATATTTCTGAGGGGGAACATTGAAAATTGTGTGTGTGTGTGTGTTCTGCCTACTCACACATTATGCATTTAAGCAAAATGGTGAAAGAAAACAGTGTAACTTTCTAAAACAATGCAAGTTCTAAAACACGTCAAGCGAAAATAGAAACATTCTATTTTCGAGGCTCTTTTTTCAAATGTCAGATTCTTATTTAATGTTCCAGTTTCACTACTAATTCCTCAACAATTTGGAGCCAGTGAACACATTTGACATTTTGCGAGTACATTATAAGCATTCTCACAAAATACAATTTTTTTTAAAAAAAACCTACAAGTCAAATAAAGCCCTGGGCCTCAGCCATTCATTGTTTTAATTAATTTTTTTAAGGATGCTTCTGGGTATTATGTGCAGCCCAGATCCCCACCTAGAATACGAGTTGTGCTTGCAGTTGATGCTCTGCTTTAGAACATGGTAGCTTCTAATGTTTTAAATTAGAAAACAAAAAAAAAGTAAACCTAAATAGGGCAAGAAATCTGGTATGTGACAAGAAATGTGTTGGAGGATATGTGTGTTGGTCTAGGTGCCATTTGGCAGTTCTTAAGATGATGTTAATATAACACACAAACATACATGCACAACACATCTACACACTCACACACACACACACACACACACACACACACCCTTGAACATAAGACTAGTAATCCATCAGATTCCAGTTCTTCAAAGATTTCTTGGGAAAGTCAGTGTCACAGAATTTCTGCATTCCAACCTCCCAAACTGATACAGGCCTCACTTTCACCATTCCCTTGATTAGTAAAGAGAAGGAAAAGAAATATGAATTTCTCTGCCCATCACCTCTGCTTCTTAAAACATTTTGCCTCCCACAAAAACATATCATCAGTATATTGCCAATATTAACTTCCTTCTGTCTGGTGTAAAGCCTTTTGGTACTCACACCAACAAAACTACTCAAAAAAATCTTAAATTATGCAAGCGTCCATAACTCCCAAACTCATTGCTATCATAGCAATATACACTTTCTTAGTGTTGGTTCTTTTGTAATCAAAAAGGTGCCACAACTATATATCAAGGCATATTAAATGGGGTATCAACAGTTTAAGAAACTTTTAGGGGGATATATAATTGTATATGATCAGTGGGCATACTGACTGAAGGATGAAGGAGAAAAATGGAAAGTTGGTAAGATAAAGTAGCAGGAATCTTGAACAAGAAAAACTTCCACATGTAATGATCAGAATGCCCACCCACTGCGGATAACTGGCCCATCCAGAATTTTACAAACCAGGTATATGTGCTGTTACAAATGGTTATTTAATAGAGCCTTGCCTATTCACAGAATATCTGCTCTCGTGAACAAGGCCAGTCACAAACAACCATTTCTTAGAACCTGTTTCTGTGAACTAACCAGACAGGAAATCACCCTAGGTTTAATCCTAAGTAATAACCATAATCTGATGCAAAAGAGAAAAGTTGTGAAACTATACTGTACATGTGCTGGGAAACTACAAGCAGGATCCAGCATAGTCTTTTTTTAACAACGAAAGGGAAAACTTTTTTAAAATGAAGGAACTGGTTTAAAAAAGAGAGAGAGAAAGAAAAAAGGCCAGATCTCTTACTAATGCCCATGATAATTTAAAATCACAATAATGGAAACTCAAATAGAAAATATTCCACAATGTAAGAAAGGTTCAGCCAAGCCCAGGAAGAAAGAGGGCACCATAGCTTTCTAATCACATCCAGGAAGCTATAAAAACTTAAGACTTCTTTCAGGAAATCGGAAGCCTGCTCTAAGGAGAACACAGAGAAGCAGAAACACTGGTAAAAAGTATAAATTAATAATATGGAATACAAAATAATTTGAGGAATATATGGCAAAAGCATTAAGAGCACCTAAAAATATAGACAAAAAAACACTCAAGGAAGCAAAGGACAACAAAGGAGTGAAGGAAGTTTGTACAGATTGCAGAGAAACTGAAGAAATTTTTGGTGTTTGCTTTCACTGCATAAGATACTAGACAGATACTTGAGCTTGTACAGTACTGAACTTTATTTTAGAGTGAATTGGAAAAACTAAAGCAAACTGAGGAAACAGAAGAACATCTTGAGGGACTACACAGGTCCTGATGACATCTTAAAAGGCCTTCACTGAAATTGTTGATCTTTTAGCAAAGGTATATATCTTGGCCTCAAATCAGACTCAGTAACCAAAGACTGGAAGATACCCAGTGTGACACCATTTTTTAAAAATGACTTAGGAGAAATCCAGGAAATTCAGATTCATATCTGCTCCAGGGTAATTGATAGAAATGATAATCATTACAAAAAAAATATAAACAAAACAAAACTAAGCATACAGAGGAACAAACGTTGCTGAAGAAAAACATTATCCCAAAGGTAAATCCATCTCACCAGAACGTTTTGAGAATCAATCAGAAAATGGACAGCTGTGTTTGAAATGTACTTGAATATTAGTAGCTCGGGTTGGTAACTGGGCTGTCAGTGCTCGGACAGACAAGCACAATTCAAAGAGCACTGACGATGTCTCCTCAAATGGTGATGAAACGTTTGCAACCAAATTGCCAAGCTCAGAGCTCAGACTAATAGCCCAGAGGTGTGTTCGTTTTATAGCTTTGAAATTGTAAGATAGGAGCTAGAAGGATATAGGAATTGAATGAATTAATAAATAAATGTTCATAATACATACCTGGATTTTCAAAAAGTCTTTGACAAAGCTCCTCATCAAAGGCTCCTGAGTAAACTTAGTGGGTATGGGATAAGAGGGCTGTTTTCATAGACTGCAAACTGGTTCAAAAAAAGGAAGCATAGAACAGAACAGAATACATGAGTGGTTTTCCTGAGCTACATATTACTTGTTTTTATATACTGTATATAGAAGTTTCTAAACTCACATGATCTCTACATACAAATCAAAGGAACAAATAGAAAATTACTCCATTGTCGAACAGGATGATTAACTGATTACATTTATACCCTACCTTTTGGCATCTTTGTGATTCAAAGAGGAATACTTATGGTTGCCTCCTCCTATTTCCCTCTCACAATTACAACTATGTGACGTAAATTGGTTAGACAGAAACTAACCTAAAGTCACTTGTAAGCTTCCATGGCTTAGGGTGGACCAGAAATTGTATTTCTCCATTCCAAGTCCAATATCTTAACAACCACACCACACTGGCACTCTTAATTACTGAGTTAAAGCAGCATTTGGTTCACTTTGCATGGCCAATATGGAACAGGAGGCTCAGGAGTGGGGGAAGTATCCCATCACATTTTTGTATTCCTCCATCTTGGTGCTACTTGACCTCTCAGCAGCTTTCAATACCATTGACCATGGTATCCTTCTGGGACGACTAAGGGAGTTGGGAGTGGGAGGCACTGTGTTACCGTGGTTCTCCTCCTATCTCTCTGGTCGGTCACAGTCAGTGTTGGTAGGAGGACAGAGGTCGACCCCTAGGTATCAGCAATACGCTGAGGATCCCCAGCTATATATCTCTACCCCGTGTCAATTCAGTGAGGCGGTGGATGTGATGTGCCGGTGCCTGGAGGCCGTGAGGGTCTGGATGGGAGTCAACAGACTCAGACTTAACCCAGACAAGACCGAGTGGCTGTGGGTATTGCCTCCTAAAGACTATGTTGATTGTCCATCCTTGGTTCGGGGGGGGGAGAAATTGTCCCCCTCAGAACGGGCTCGCAATTTGGGTGTCCTCCTAGACTCACAGCTAAGATTAGAGCAACATCTGTCAGCTGTGGCTAGGGGGACCTTTGCACAGGTTCGCCTGGTGCACCAATTGCGACCCTACCTGGATCAGGAGGCTCTCCTCACAGTCACTCATGCCCTTGTCACCTCACAGTTAGATTATTGCAATGCGCTCTACATGGGGCTACCCTTGAAAAGTGTTCGGAGACTACAGTTGGTCCAGAACGCAGCCACGCGAGCTGTCGTGGGTGCACCTAGGTACACCCACATTATACCAATTCTCCGTGAGCTGCACTGGCTCCCTATTGGTCTCCGGTCACAATTCAAGGTGTTGGTTATTACCTTTAAAGCCCTACATGGCCCAGGGCCAGGGTATCTTCGAGACCGCCTTCTACCGCATAGCTCCCAGTGACCGGTAAGATCCCACAGGGTTGGTCTCCTCAGGGTCCCGTCAGCTAAACAATGCCGGCTGGCGGGCCCGCGGGGGAGGGCCTTCTCTGTTACTATTGGCTTTCCGAAAAGCGGTGAAGACCTGGCTCTTCCGTCAGGCCTGGGGCCATTGATCTCACTGTTGCGATCTGGAGAGATCTGGCCATGAATGGTGTGAATGGGTTTTAATTGTTTTTAATGGTTTAACTTTTAATGTTTTATATATGGTTTTTTAAATGCATTGTAAGCCGCCTTGAGTCTTCGGAGAAAGGCGGCATAAAAGTTGAACAAATAAAGTTGAACAAATAAATAAATATTTGTAAGATACAGTTTGTTTCTCATCACACAAAAGCTGCCGTTCTATTTACCTAGTAGCAAACCTTATTGAACATCCCCCTGAATGGATATCCATTGCTCTGAAAACATAAGAGAACATACAGCATATACACACAGACCTCAATTTACAACCATGTGTTTAGTAATTGTTTGAAGTTACAACGGCACTGAAAAAAGTGACTTATGACCGTTTTTCACACTTACAACCATTTCAGCATTACCATGGTCATGTGATCAACATTTGGATGCTTGGCAACTGGCATGTATTTATGATGGTTGGATGTCTAGGGCAGGGGTGAAATGTAACCAGTTCTGTGGACGTGGCTTGGTGGGGTAATGTGACTGGGTGGGCGTGGCTAACTTTTTTTTTTTTTAACTTTTCAAAGCATTTTTTCTACAACCTCTTCGGCCGAAGGTTGCAAAAAAATGCTTTGAAAAGCCTCTCTGCCAATCAGGCAACTCAACTGGGATCGTCAGAGGCTTTTTTTTTTTACTTTTAAAAGCATTTTTTTGGCGGAAGAGGTTGTAGAAAAAATGCTTTTAAAAGTAAAAAAAAAAGCCTCTGATGATCGTGCGGCTTAGCTGGGCATGGGGGGGGGGCCGCACAGGGATTTTTGCTACCGATTCTCCGAACCACCCACCGCCATCGTGCGATCCGGTCCAAACCGGGAGCATTTCACCCCTGGTCTAGGGGTCACTTTTGCAAACCTCTGACAAGCAAAGTCAATGGGGAAGCCAGGTTCACTTAACAGCCGTGTCACTAACTTAACCACTGCAGTGATTCACTTAATAACTGTGGGAAGAAAGGTCACAAAATGGGGCAAAACTCACTTAACATCTGTCTTGCTTAGCAACAGAAATGGGCTCAATTGTGATAAGTCAAGGACTATCAAAAGAGAGAGAGAGAGAGATAAATAGTGTACATTTATTAATTGTATTCTATTCCATTGTAGACCAAACTCTCCTTCAGTTTTGCACATGCTTGCTCTTTATCTTTTTCTTACATCTCATCTCAAGTTTCAAACTGGCTATAGTATCTGCTTTTAAAATATTTCTTTCTTCAAAGACTTGAACGATTACCCAATTAAACATTTGTGAAACATTTGTTTATTGAATTTATTTATTTATTTATTTGTTTAAATTTCTATACCGCCCTTCTCCAATATAGGACTCAGGGCGGTGAACAGCCAAAATAAAAACAAGACATACATATAAAACATACAAAATCTAAAAACTGATTAAAATAATTAAATCTTTTGGCCGTAATTAAAACAATTCCAATTTAAAATCAGTTTAAAATTTGACTCAAGCCAGCCCAGCTAGTTGAAATAAATGGGTTTTCAGGGCCCGACGAAAAATCCGGAGGTCTGTTATTGTACGTAACTCTGGGGGGAGGTTGTTCCAGAGGGTGGGCGCCACCACAGAGAAGGCTCTCCCCCTGGGGGTTGCCAGCCGACATTGTCTGGCGGACGGCACCCTGAAGAGGCCTACTCTGTGTGAGCGCACTGGCCGGTGGGAGGCTATTGGTGGCAGAAGGCGGTCTCGTAAGTACCCCGGCCCTAAGCCATGGAGCGCTTTAAAGGTGGTCACCAACACCTTGAAGCGCACCCGGAAGACCACCAGGAGCCAGTGCAGCTCGCGCAGGAGAGGTGTCACATGGGAGCGCCTCGTCGCCCCCATAATCCCCCGCGCGGCCGCGTTCTGGACCAGCTGGAGCTTCCGGGTGCACCCCAGGGGGAGCCCCATGTAGAGAGCATTGCAGTAGTCCAGGCGGGAAGTGACAAGTGCCTGAGTGACTGTGCGTAGGGAGTCCCGATCTAGAAAGGGGCGCAACTGGCGTATCAGGCGAACCTGATAGAAAGCCCCCCTGGCCACGGCCGTCAAATGATCTTCCAAAGACAGCCGTGCATCCAGGAGGACGCCCAAGTTACAAGCCCTTTCCGTGGGGGTGAGTGATTCACCCCCAATAGCCAGCGATGGCATCAGCTGGCTATATCGGGACGCCGGAAGCCACAGCCACTCGGTCTTGGAGGGGTTGAGTCGGAGCCTGTTTCTCCCCATCCAGGCCCGCACGGCCTCCAGGCACTGGGACATCACTTCAAGGGCATCATTGGGGTGGCCTGGGGTGGAGATGTACAGCTGGGTGTCATCAGCGTACTGATGGAACTCCACCCCGAAGCCACGGATGATCTCACCCAGCGGCTTTACATAAATGTTGAACAGAAGGGGCGAGAGGACCGACCCTTGTGGCACCCCACAAGCAAGGTGCCTCGGGGTCGACCGCTGCCCCCCTGTCAACACAGATTGCGACCGGTCAGAGAGGTAGGAGGAGAACCACCGCAGAACGGTGCCTCCCACCCCCAACCCCGCCAACCGGTGCAACATGATACCATGGTCGATGGTATCAAAGGCCGCTGAGAGGTCTAACAGGACCAGGATAGAGGAGCTTAGAGGAGTTTAAACTTTTGTTTAAACTTGAAGAGGTGGGCCACGGAAGAAGAGATGGGATTTTTTTTATTGTTGGATTGGCCTTATATCAATCAGCACTCTGCCAAACCTTTTCAAGTGCAATGTTAAAAACAGATTTCTCAAACCACAATCCAAGGAAAAGATAAATTAGAGTAGGACATCAACATGTCAATTCCTCTTTCCTTCATTTTTCTCTAGCATCACAAGGGAAAATGGGCAAAAATGTACATAAATGTACATTAAAGTGGCCAAAAATGTACATAAATGTACATTAAAGTGGGCAAAAATGTACATAAAAATTGCACATCCTGGAGAAACCTTTATAATTTAATAATTAGCTTATTATAATGGGAATGAGTGGCCTCCAGTACAACTGTTCAGGTTATGGCAGCCCTTTGAGTAGGCCAGGTCAAGAAACAGACACTGCAGGGATCCTAGGAATGCTGATTTATTGTTTAGTAGCATCTCGAACGGGTGCCCAAAACTTTTACTGCCCCTTTTGAAGGACAATAAAGTCAAAGCAGTTAGTCTGAATCTCTTTCTCACAATCTCTACTTTCCCAGAATTGAGCAACTGTTTCCTCTCTCCCACCTCTTTCTCAAGGCCAGAGCTAAATTCCTCTACAGGTGATCCCACAAAGATATGCTCCGGTTCTGTTCAATTTCAAAGTTCTGCTCTGGTTTAATCTTTAAACCAGTTTTGGATTGGATGGGCCTCCAAAGAGAGGAGTTGCCCTCCTGAATGTAGCAGGTCATCCTAAGTGTCCCATGAGCAGAAAGATGGTGGCTATCAATAAATTAATTAAATCATTAGGATCAACTTAATCAGCACCATCTGGGAGAAAAGGGAT